CTAATTCTTGCTTGCAAGCAGTGTTACAAAGATATTCTGTTTTATGTGCATCTTGTATACTTCTTCACTTGTTTGAATAAATTCAGTGTCTTTCTGTGTATTCTTTAACCCAATGTCAACCCTATGCTGTACACCTTTTATGTCTCCTTTCTGTTTAACCCCTTTGTTTTTGTTCATTCATGTTCTGATTATTTAGATTAGTATAATTGATAGTATTACATATTTCTCAGATTTTTTATTATTATTATCATTATTTTTTTTTTTTTTTATCAGAAAATAAATTTTGATGCAGTGTCAGTCTTTATGCAGTATAATAGACTTGATGTAAAACATCTTCAGGAACCTCTAATTTATGAGTTAAATTCCTAAACAAATATCTACATTCCAGCTGTTAATAAAGATTTACTTGTAGCTGCGTGGTGGAGGATATGAGCCAGAGCTTCACTATCCCAACTGGCGTCGTGTCCATAAGCCCATTGATCGTCATCATGTCCTGCTTGATTCCCTAACTAAGCTTATGGACGGTAAGATTATGCAGGCTTTATTATATGAAGGTTGAGAATAGCAAAATTAATCATTTTCATGCTAGAAAAAAACTAGAAGTACTCATTTCTTTGTAGTGCTCTCGTAGGAACTGGCAGATGATAATGAATTTTATGCAAATAAACTAAAGAATATAATCTGACTTTGATATATTGTATAACAGGCATCAATGACACTAGCAGTGGAACAGATAAGTGGCTGAGTAGGTTGGAGAGCAGCAGCTGGATGAACAATATCAAGGAAACCCTGAATTGTGCATGCCTTGTGGCACAGTGTCTTGATCAGGTAAGTAAATTATTGATATGAATACTAATAAACATTAAGAAATAACTCTTGCTAATTTAACAGAAACAGTGTAATGATATTGTGCTGCATGCATGAGCTACATGAAATTTTCCAGTACTTATCATTGTTGCAGAAAGATGGTGCTATACTTTGATTTTGACAAAGAATTATATGGATTTGTTTATTTGTAAATAATGATATGAATATAGAATTTCTGTTCCTACTTTGGGAAGTTCACTCTCTAGAGATTTATCTTATTACAGGAAGGAGCATCTGTTCTAGTGCATGACACAGATGGGATGGATTCCACTTTGCAGGTCACATCACTGGCTCAGATAATACTCAATCCAGATTGTCGCACTGTCAGAGGGTAAAAGTTCTTTATCAGTGTCAAGTTGGTAATTAAGAAATGTCTACAGAAAAACAAGAATTGATAATAAGGATTAATGGTCAAAGCTTGTCCAAGAAATGTGAAATGCATCTCTATAACTTGTATCTATTGTTACTGTTATTAGTATTAGTATTATTGCTGTCTTTGTACATTGTTAGTATGATTACTTCCATTATCATTATTGCTATTAATGATGTTACAGGAGTATAACTCTTGGTTTCCTATTTTATGAATTTCACAGTTTTCTTATTATTTCAGTTTTGAAGCACTAATAGAACGAGAGTGGATTCAGGGAGGCCACCCCTTTGCCACTCGTCATGCTCGGTCATGCTACACCCCCAGCACCCAGCGCTCTAAAATCAACTCTCCCACATTCCTCCTCTTCCTTGACTGTGTCTACCAGATTCATCACCAGTTTAGTTGCAGCTTTGAGTTTGCTGAGAACTTCTTAGTGATGCTCTTTGAGCATTCATATTCATCTCAGTTTGGCAAGTGATGCATATGATTGCGTTTCTGCCTTCTTTTAAGTGTTTGCAGTTCTTTTATGGTAGAAGAGTTTCACATGCAGTACATCTGAGAATCAGGATATTTGTTCCCTGTATCTAACTCATTTGACCAGACTTCCATGCATTGAAAAACATATTAGTAGAGAGAGTGGGAGAGAGAAAGAGTGAGAGAGAGTGGGATTGGGATAGAGAGAGAGTGGGATTGGGATAGAGAGGGAGAGAGGGAGGGAGAGGGAGAGAGAGAGAGAGAGGGAGAGAGAGAGAGAGAGAGGGAGAGAGAGAGAGAGGGAGAGGGAGAGGGAGACTTTGCATATGGTGTGTCACATTTCCATCTTCTGAGCATTCCAAGTTTTATGCATATCTGATACATCATGTTACTTATTTGCTAGCCAAAACATGGTGGCATACAGAAGAAAAAGATAATTTATTTCCAAAGTTGATTGCCTTTGACATGTGATTATTTCTTTTGCAGGAACATTTTTAGCCAATAATGAAGGTGAAAGGAGAGCCATGAAGGCTCATGAGAGAACAGCTAGTTTATGGTCCTTTGTAAACCGGCCTGAGGTGCTTCCCAAGTATTTGAACCCCATGTATGAGCCAAACCAGCGTGTCATATGGCCATCTGTTGCACCAATGAGCCTGGTAAATATGATCTTTAGTATATGAGCCTGAATTTGTAGTTGTGCTGATTAAATGAACAATTCCTTTCAACATTATTGTGAAAATGTTTTATATTATATAAGGTTGGTTCCAGTTTCTGTCGTATATATTATAGTTCAGTTGTTATATATATATATATATATATATATATATATATATATATATATATATATATATATATATATATATATATATATATTTATATATATATATACACATACACATACACATATGGCTGCATTGTAAATGGTTTAACAAGTGATGATTGAATAAAATCTAAGTGTGATTTTTACAGTATTATTCTAGACAAAGTACTGTGGCACCTTAGTTGTCAGCCAAGCTGCTTTTGGCTGCACAGTGAAATCTCTTAACTCTGAACTGTTTATTGGTCATTTCAAAAATAGATGCAGCCATATACATGCATACAACCCCCCCCCCCCTTCCCATACATATATATGCCCACACTCATGAGTGTCTGTCCATGTGTATGTATATATGTATATGTGTAAATACATTTTCTTTTTTTCCATTTTTTTTCCATTTTTATCTGCTTTTGGGATTGTATACTGGAGCTCAGCTTCTTTTACTGTAACCACTGTTTTTATTTCAGCAACTGTGGGCTAGTGTGTTTTTGAGATGGGTGGTAGACCAAGGGCCACAGGAGGCAGCTTGGACTATAGTGAGGGAGCTGAGGGAGAAGGAATCCTCAGTCAGGTCCCAGGTGGCAAGATTAAGACGTCAGTTACAAGACTTGGAACGCGAGGCAGTAGATGTTGGCATTTTGACACCACCAGCAACAGGGGAAGTAGAGGTGGCATAAAATCCCTGTGGAAGCTGTAGTTAAGCCACAAATATTGTTGTGCAGGTCTAGAGTGTTATATGAATACATTATTACATACTTTCTATTGTTCTTAAGTGCTATATGATGAATGGTTGTTTGATAGACATTGAATTACAGAAGCACCCAGAAATATGTAATGTTTGATGTTTTTGTTTCACAAGTTCATAAAAGACAAATGCTTAGTGATCATATCTGTAGGTTCTTTTAGTCTTAGGTGATGATGATAATGGAATAAGTGTACATAGATTACAGTGTATTTAATACTTAAAAATGGAATGAAACAGTTACTGAGGATTAGGACCACTAGATAATTGATGCTGATAGTGATTGATAATATAACATTTGATAATGATTATATCTAGACTCAACATATTTTACATAATACCCACATAGAATTATATCTTCATTTCTGTGGTTGAAGACACTATCTGCATTGACATTTTCAGGTGTCTTTTTCATATCAGGATAATAATTGTTATCTTAGTGATAATATTTATTCGGGTACTACTATCATTTTTCTAATTTTATTTTTGTTACTTTTGTATCTCTCTCTCTCTCTCTCTCTCTCTCTCTCTCTCTCTTTCTCTTTCTCTTTCTCTTTCTCTTTCTCTTTCTCTTTCTCTCTCTCTCTCTCTCTCTCTCTCTCTCTCTCTCTCTCTCTCTCTCTCTCTTTCTCTCTCTCTCTCTCTCTCTCTCTCTCTCTCTCTCTCTCTCTCTCTCTCTCTCTCTCTCTCTCTCTCTCTCTCTCTCTCTCTCTCTCTCTCTCTCTCTCTCTCGCTCTCTCTCGCTCTCTCTATCTGCTATTACTAATATTTTTCGTCAGGAATATTTGTCATTTTAGATGGTATTGCCGCTGTTCTGTCTTGCATTTTCAATATGCTTAACATTAAGAAAGCACTTTTTCAACCATGTACTTTCTTCTGTGTATCCACATCTCCTTTATATAAAATCTGAATATGTCTTATGCACATACAGGTGGGATTCCAGTTAGCAGCCATTGTTTGTATTCTAAATCTGAAGATACTTATTGCTGATGTCACTATTAAATCAGTGTTAAATACCACAGTGCCATTATACTTGGCAAGTCCTCATGCATAAGTTCTTTCAACTGCAATTACATATTTACATGATAACTGCATGTTTCCTAAGTAGATAATCAAAGTACTGGTAAACCTCCAAAGAAATGGAAGATTGCTTGATGTCTTGTATTTGTGATTGTATGTGAGAGGTTCTTGTATCAGTGATGGAAATATCAGCCTGAAGAGCTTCATTTACATGTGTTGATTTTGTGATTGTAGTATGATTGTATATATCTGATTAAATGTAGTATTTAGAATTATTATTCTATAAGCATCACTGTGATCATTTTTCTTTAGAATATAACTGTTAACAGGTTATTGAATGTAGGTATAGCACATGTCAAATAGACTTCATCTCTATACAACAAAGCTCATTTTGTGATGTAATCATTTTTTCAAGAATTCTTAATATCAAGTTCTGTATTCTGTATTTATTTTTATTTGTATGTAATATTTTGACAATGTAAAATTTGCGGTTTCATTTCATTATGATTGCACAAAATTGTTTAAATCAAATTACGATGAAGTAAGGGTGCAGCTTGTGAATTTTGAACAGATAGATTCTGTTGAAACTTCTCAAGCAGAGGCCTTTCATATTTCTACTTATTGTGAATACCAATTGTCTTCTTGTTTCTGGTTATTTTTCTGTCATTTCCATAAACCACCAAGAATATATAATAAAACACTAAAAAATACACTGTTATTAAATAACCTTTATCATACATATACTCATATTCTTGTTGTGAACCATTTTTCATTATGAAATCAATATGAAGAAGTTATGTCATTATATATTTAAAAGATGTTATCTATTAATTCATGATTGTAGCAGAATTGTTTAGTAAATTGATACCATCATTCTTTTTAAAAGGCAGTTATATACAATTAGATGCTTTGTTTTCTGTCTCTCCAGTCTGGTGCCAAGATGCTAGAGTAACTACGCCAAAAAGCATAATCTGTACAGCCCAACCAAGTTGAGTCATCGTTGTTAAATTAAACAACGGCCTACCAGAACGAAAAACAGGAGAACAATCCCCAACTATCAACTGCCATAACTGCCTATTACCCCCAACCCCCTAATCCTTACGCACAGGACACACCAGCTTGTTGACCTCAAATTTCTCAAAACCGCTGAAGAGAACGGACGCTTACTACAGCTTTCAGAAAAAAAACAGTAACCAGTAATATTTTTGGGGGGTTTCACAATGTTTGCTACTCATCAGAAATTAATAGCATCTACAATTATCAAACGGCGGTTTTTGTGTTAAGTGAAGTGAATTGAAGAAAAGTGAAAATTGTTGTGTTAAATGTGTATTTTTGCTAGCAGAAGTGGCAGGAATGAAAATCTTTTCTAGTGCTTCCAAAGCCAAATGGTTCGTGGCGTGCCCTTACTTATGTAACAGCCCCATGATCATTCTGTGCTGCATGAGGTTTGTCAGCACATGCGCAGTGGAACTGGTGTGCTGTACGATACCGTTTCTCTTACAAAGCCAAATGGTTCGTGGAATGCCCTTACTTACGTAACAGACCCATTGACTTTTGCTTTCTTTTAAACTATTTTAATGACCCATAATTTCTATATAAAATAAACAAATAGATAAATTAAAAAATAATCAACAATAGTTGTAGACATACCTGTCAGCAATTCGGGTAATATAAATAATTTATATGCACACGTTCACGCAACGGTTTTTTCTTACTCTAAATTGAGATAAATAATCATATAATAAAAACTAAGATATGGAAATTTAAATTTAATTTTACAGAATGCTTATCTGTTTTTACAGATGGCATATACTTCAAACCCTAAAACACTGCTCATGAGAGCAAGTCTGCTTTAGTCTGCAGTGTGGGATCTTGCAGGGAGAAGATCAGATCTGTAGCACACGATAATTGCCCTAAATATGCCCCCTGTGCTTCTTCGGGCTGCTTTGGTCCTCGACAATGTTGTACTTGCTAAAAATGGTTGCAGATAGTACAAATGCAACCTCCAGATGATCCACCATCAAAAGAAAGGAAGTTAATCAAGAAACATTATTTACGAGCAGCTAGGAAGACAAAAGAGTCTGGATCTGTTCTTCCTTGGGCATCTTCAGAACTTTATAAGCTTTTCATGGCTTCAGCCTCACGTAGCCAAAAAGGTGTTGTGATTTCCTCATAATCTTCTGTTTCTGCTTCACCAATTTCAGTTCAGTCCCAAGATTCTTGTAAAACGCCTACAAACACTCATCATGGAAAGCAATCATTTCGGGACCAAAAGCAAACAAGAATAATCGAGTTACTAACTGAAATGATTGAACTTTCACCTAATTTGCATGAAAGTCACTCTTTTCCAAAATCACCACAAAGATCATTTCAAATTGCAGGAAGTCCCTTGTCTTCAACAAGTGAAAAGTCTTTGACCGATCATTCCTGCTATTACTTGCCTCCTCAAAAAAGAAGAATTCTATCTTCTATTTCACAACCACAGAGGCATGATGATAGAGATAATAATCTTAAATCTGAAAATAGCTCATCTATTCAGACATCTTGTAATAACTATGTTGCTGAAGAGCCCTTTCAATATCCATGTGGAGGTTGGATGAAAATTCCAGCACGCTGGCAAGTAGAGCAAAATAATGATGGAGAATTTGTTGTTTATGATAGAATTTTAAGAGAAGGTCAGGAACATCTTGTTCTTATTGACTATGTGGAAGTCAGAACATTCGAGTACTTGGGAACAGAATGTGTTTTATGGCGACCAAAGAAAGTGTCACCAGAAAATTCAACTGTTCGGCGTGCTTCAGCTGCAACTGACACGGCACAAGCATTGTCAGCCATTGCTTCTTTAGTAGCACTACCAGCTGAATCTCCATTGGTCCATTTTGAGTCAGCTCGGCCTCGCCACGCAGTACTTCACATTCTGACTCCTCAGATATCACCCTTAATACCTGTGGAAGATTTACGGAATTGGTGGCTTGTACGTGCTACACACAAATATGCTGCTAAACCTAGTTCATACCTAGTTCATCTGCAGGACCTGTCTCATCTGTGTTTGGTCTACAGTGGTCTATGGACTCTGAACAAATGATGTTTTCTCAGTTTCTTTCTGCTCCAAAAATTCGCAAGGAGGATTTTTCTCCTCGACTAAGAATACCAGACAACAGTTTATTGTTGGCAGATCATACAGCCTGCTTCACCGCTCGACAGTCATGGAATACTTTATCGATTATGTCAATACTGGCTAAACTTCTATTACTATCAGCAAAAGCAACCTACCAGAATCCTGGTTTTGATTCTGGGTTGATTCTTAAGAAGGCATCAGAAGTAATGTCCAATCTTGCAACTTTAAGTATTCCATTAGTAAAGTCACATCTAGAAGAAGCAGTAATAAAGAGATTAGAACTACGTGAAAACACGATTCCTAAGAATCTGATAAGAATTAAATCGGATCTCTTGAGTAACATTCCCTGGCTCAAGTACATATGAGCACGTCTTGCTTCATTCGACTTAAAAGATGCTTATTGGCATATTCCCATACACCCTCGATTCAGGCCATTCCTAGAAGTGTCAGAAGGGGAGAAGAATTATCAATTTTGCGTCCTTCCATTTGGGTGTTTACAAAATTACAAAACTCCTCCAAAGAGGAGTACATGTGTTAATGTATCTCGATGACTGGCTCATAATTGGACAGTCACACGAAGACTGCCAAAGGATGTTAAGCCACACAATAGAGGTGGGTACCTCCATGGGTCTCCTTTTCAATCTACAAAAATCTCACATCGAACCGACAATATCATTACAGTGGCTGGGACTGCAGTGGGACTCAGACAAGGAGCAGTCGCAGTTCAATCAATCGGAAAAAGTGCTGGAGAAAATTGTTCCGAAATCCTTGGTTAGTCAATATATCCCGTCGAGAATGGGAAAGTCTTCTGGGGTCATTAAATCATGTAGCAGAAATAATTCCTTTTGGGAGAATTCATCTAAGGCGTCTACAACTCGAAGGACGTGCAGTGCTCACTTCAACAATCGAGACAAGATGGTAATTTTTCTTTGTCACATCCGCTCCCATCTACGTTGGTGGCTGAAGAGGAAACGTCTAATGTCGGTCTCTCCATGGGTTCCCAAAACTCCTTTAATTCTAACAACAGATGCATCAGACTGAGGACAATATTGCAACTGTTTATTGTATAAACAAACAAGGCTCCTCCCGTTCAAAGACTCTTCTAAAAGCATCAGAAATTCTTTTTCGTATTGTGAAGCAACGTCGACTACATCTAACTGCGTTTCACCTAGAAGGGAGAAAAAATCAGCGGGCAGATGCATTATCACGTCAGACCACATCCTCGGTAGAGTGGGCTCTGGATCAGGAAGTTTTTCAGAAAATTGCACAAAAATACGTTAATTCCCAGATCGAACATTTTGCGTCTCAATCCAATCACAGAATCGAGAGATATTTGACAAGAGCAGAGATGACGCTTTTCTAGAGGACTGAAACAGATGGAAGTCAATACACCTCTTTCCCCCTCCACTGACATCAATAATGCTTCGGGTGATCAAACACTTGAGGTCATCCAAAGGCAAAGTTTTATTGATTGCCCCTCTTGTGGGAAGCACAACCATGGATACAGTATCTTCTTCACTGGTGCCCTCATCCACTTCCACTAACAGGGAAGGTGCTTCAGGAAACTCGGATGGACCATGTCACAGTCTACAGGCGTCAAATGTATACGTACAGCCTTAAGCAAAAATTTCCAGCCTTTACAAGTAGATGACCTTATCAAAGGACATCGATCTTCTACCATTAGGCAGTATCAATCAGCATGGTTAAAATTCAAAAAAATCATCAGAGAGACAAGACCTAAGTCTATATCTCCAGAAATATTTATTCAGTTTGCTTCCTATTTACTCCATTCACAGTCACTTGCACCACCTACTATTTCTTGCCATATAGCAGCAATCACAGATCCACTAAGATATGCTTTTGGTATAGAAAAGGATGAAAGATCAATGGAACTGCTTCGTAGATCATTCTTCCAAAGGAGACCTCCAACTCGTAATAATATTCCATCATGGTCTCTACAGAAAGTTCTGGATATACTCTCATCACATCGGTATTCTGTAAATTCATCCCCTATGGATGTTTTTCACAAAGCAATATCCCTTGTGGCTCTTGCCACAGGTTTTCGGGTTTCTCAACTGGCAGCCCTCTCACGGTCTCCTTCTCTAACAAAATTTTGGTTGAAATAATTTGTTCGTCTCTTTTACTCCTCATCCTCGTTTTCTAGCAAAATAATAACGGCAAGGTCATCTCTTAGAACCTGTAGTAATTCCATCATGGTTAGAAAATTATTCCTTTCATGTTTTATTCCCAGTAGCAGCTTTGAAATGTTATACAGAAGCAACTCCAGCAGATTATAATAAGGCACTATGGTTATGGCCAGATTCACTTAGGCCAAGCACCCAACTTCATGTAGCCAAGATAATTAGAAGGATAATTGGATCTGCTGATCCAGGTCATGCTCCTACGGCTCACCAAGTTAGGAAGTATGCTTCTACTCTTACTTTTTACTTACTTACTCTAAATCTTGAAAAAGTGAAAGAAGCAGGTCAGTGGTCTTCATGCAGATCCTTTGTTAATCGATACTTGACATCACATCTACTGGACATCCCTTGTGTGGCAATGACTACGCCACCTAAACAAGCATCCCAATAA